CACATATATACATACACACACACACACACACACACATATATATATATATATGAAATCTTAAATTTAAAAGAAGACACGTAACATCTAATATTCTGAGGAAAACTGCAGTTTGTATAATAGTCAATTTTTATAAAGAAAATTTGTAACACACACACACACACACACATATATACATACACACACACACACACACACACATATATATATATATATGAAATCTTAAATTTAAAAGAAGACACGTAACATCTAATATTCTGAGGAAAACTGCAGTTTGTATAATAGTCAATTTTTATAAAGAAAATTTGTAAAAAATTCTTTTTAAAAGAGTTTGTTAAGCCACACTTCATTTTTGCTGTTACAATTATCACTTTTTTCCACTAAAAATCAGAATAGATTCTTGAATAAGATAGGTCAGCAAACATATTTGGGCAAGGCTTTCAGAAAGTTTTACAAAGAACCACAACTATGACAACTTTATAGGATTTTGTAAGAGACAACTATGACAAGGATGCTGCTGATTTTCTTTCATTAGAGCTTTGGTTCTTGATCAGGGATTATAGCTTTTTTTTTTTTTTTTTAAACACAAAAACCAAAAAAAAAAAAAAAAAAAAAAAAAAAAAAAAAAAAACCAGCAGTACACAAGTGAATTTTTTTTAAACCCACCAGATTCCTCAGCTCAAAAAATAGGAACCACCTTTGGTGGGAAGTAACAGCGTTCCGTGCGCCTTTGGCGTTTAGTTATGCCAGCCACAAGACCTTGGAGACAGGAATGACTAGCACATATGTGTGAGGAGAACCTTTACCTTTACCTAAAGCATTTTAGCTGTTCACTTTTTTCTATTTTTTTTTAATCTTCATAACACAAATTTCAAACTATCAGGTCACAAGCTTTTAGTGCTATTAATAATTCCTCTCATGAAATCTGCTCCTAATGTTTCTACATATCAAAAATAATTAGGTTTGTTCTGAAATCTATGTACCATATTTTGTTACAATATATTATCCAAATGACATGTTTTCAGATACCATAAAAATAATACTTTATTTTGTTAGGCTAAAATAAGCATATACATTAATAGACTTTCTCGATCACAAGCATATTCTTTGTTCATTCAATATACACTTATTCTTTTAGAACTGATAAAGAGTTGTTTTCAACTAATTTTTACTATTATGTTTCAGTTCAGTTAACTCATGATTGGACAATTATGTTTGTATGTCCAGAAGTTAATTTTGTGAGTCTTAATAACTTATAAATTAGATGAGAGGTTTAAGAATTTATTTCATTTTGTAATGTGATAGATTTCTAAATACTTGAAGAAAGTTTTAAAAACTAAAGTCAGTTATCCGTTGTGTATGATGCAAATATATAATTTTACAGTAAAGTCCCAGTGCCTAAAACAAAAATAATCAGTTCGTACAGATGTAGCATCAGTTCATAATATCCATTAAATACTTCTATTATCTGTTCTTGATCATTTGCTTATCCTGAAAGATTGGATGCATATAATGTATTCAGAAACTGAAGATTTCATGGCACACAGATTGCAGAGTTACTCCTTTTACATGCAACTTTTATTTTCACATTTTTCCTATCTAGAATAAAGCATGAGTGTCTCATTTTACTCACAGATAAGTATCATATGTTTGAGTCACAGACAGAGTCCGTGTCACAACAAAATAAGATTATGTGGTAGTATAAACCATTTCATAAGACAATGAAAGCTAAATTAGACTTTCGTTGTAAGATCTATCTGCATAATAGTAAAAACATCAAAACAAGGAATTAAAAATGGAATTGAAATAAACTTTATTTTTGTGGTCGGGGATGGGTTGCTGCCTGTTTTACTACTGGTTTGCAACTGATGCATGTGCCAGATGCACATTGTGTGGGTGTACGCTGTTCAATGTAATTTGTTCTTTGCGCATGTGCAGAACAATTTACAGTGAATTGCGCATGCGTAGTCACTAAAAATCAAAGTGGCTCAGCAGTGGCAAGGGAACCCATTCGGAGGCGTGGCAGTCCTGGGTTCTGTGACCCAGGCCTGAATTCCACTACCGGTTCGGCTGAACTGGGAGCAACTCACCTCTGTAGTCCTTATCAATGAATGGCAATGCCACAGGAATACTAGATAGAAAAGTTGACCCTGTGAGAAACACGCTAAAATAAAATCCAGGTGGTTTTTTTAAGTAAAACATAGTTTTTTAATTTTAACTTCCTACTAAAGAATTGTATCCAATGCTCAAATTGCAGAAGTTGTTATTGACTGCAATACAAAGATACATTGTTCATATTAAATTTGAATTGCATTTTTATATATATCACTGAAGCAACATGGTTTGAAATATCAGTACCATCATAAAGATACGTCGGAAAGATCTTGGACAACCTTAAACCTTTCCACAAAGTGATGCAATCTGGTGTTCCTATCCCAACTTGTTCAGAGGTTACTTCTACTGAACCTAAAGCTGCTCATTATAACCAAATATTATAAATTAAATATTTCTTCTTAAATTCTCAGTATATGAAGTAACTTTTAAAATGCATATATTATAAATATTTGCATGGGATTGTCAATTTTAATCATTACTACATTTTATTTCAAAAGGATGTAATCTTTCTAGGTAAAAAGTATGTATAACAGCTCCCAACAAGGAAATCAAAACAAAAGCTATGTCATGGTAGAATTTAAAAAGCAACTACATTACAGTATATTGGATTTCTATTCCACTTTGCTGTTTATTAGAAAATTAATTATTTATTAGAACAAGTACTTTCATTGTGCTTAAACTAGTCAATAGCATATCCAGCTATCTGTAAATCCAATTCAGAGTTGATAACTTTACAGCAAGTTCTTTTGGTAAAATGCTTCTTTGTAAACCCAGTTAACCTAATCCTGTAAGTTATACGTGCAGAACTGAATTGTAATGCACTATTAAAAGAACACTGTTGTATGACAAATCACGATATTTGTTACATTTCAGTTATCAAAATGTTAGGAAACAGCAATTAGCTTCTTTCCAATGGAACTAGTTGTCCTTTCTAAACATTTACCACATAATGCAGCAATGTACCTATAAAATATTCTATTTAATCTTTATAAAGATAGTACATGGATACTTGTGCTATCCAAAAATTGATACAATCATATTTTCCCCTTAAATTCAGAATACAAGAATCTCTGATTATGGTAAACAAAACCAAATTCAGCCAAGAAAGAAATAATATACTACTAATTTTAAAAACCTAATCAATAACGTAGATATAGTTGTCATAATCTTATACAATCTTCCTACCAGTACATCAACTCTGAAAAGGAAAATAAGAAATTGTGGCCATGGGATTATTTCAAAATGAAAATTGTCCCAAAATAAATATCTTGTTAAGTCATTGTTTTAAACTGGGCCATGTTATGTTTTCATAGCATCAATGAGACCACTTTTTTCTTTCAAAATGATTGAATGAGATTAAACATAATGTATGTTTATATAGATGGGGCAAAAATTACTAATTAACACATGCTGATTCAAAAATGTTACAGCAGCTATGGAAAAAAAGAGTTGATAACCTAATTGATGAGAGGTAGATAATTTGTTAGTATTTAGATTGAGACACTTAAATATAACATGAAATTGCACTACATTCTCATTAACAAAAAAACAAAAACAGTACTAGAATTATTTGGTGTGAAAAGTTAACTAATCCTGCAATAGTTGTTACCTAAATAGTGAGATGGTGTAAAATTTTAAAATGCTATCTTAGCTTTTTTAAAGACTATTTAAAGTCTGCTAATTTAAATCTCATTAATTTCACATTACCCCACTTATAATTACTTCCATTTGTAACACATTTGTGGAAATATATTCTATTGAAACAAACAATTCTGCACGTTGGATTTGTAGACGGGAAAAGATATTACAAGTACAAATGTGAATATATTTTTATGTATTAAATGTTGAAATATTACCTCCATATACACTATCATGTTTCATACTGAAATATAATTCAACTCTTAAAAACAATGCTAAACAAATTAACTTAAAATACAGCTAAATTGACATCCTCCAAAATACAAAAATAAATCTGGAACAAGGTTCAAATATAAAGCAAAGAAGTATAAAAGCAGTTGCCAAATTATATCCTGTGATGCAGCTCATCTTCATGCAATTGAATTCAAGTACCTATGCTTTTATAGTGAAGCCTTTTGGTTTCTTAAAAGAAATGCAAAAAACTTAGCCCAGAAGAATTATTCCCCAAGGCTTTGAGAGGACTGGGTGAAAGTAGAAAGCCATGAAGACACTGCTGATTTTGCACTGGTGAGAGCTCCTCCAACTGACTGACCTGCATTATGAAACAAAATAAGAGGGGTGGGGGGAGAAAAAAAATTAAATAGAATAGATTAAGAATGATGTCAGAAGCTCTTTTGCTTGAGCAATATTTTATTCATTACAGTAACCATTAGGCCATATCAGAATACAAAATATAGAACAATAAGACCACAGGTAAAGAAAAAAAGCAAGCATGGCATGGAGCTGGGTTATTTGAAGGACTGCTGCTCCCCAATCATATCAACCTGTCCCATCAAGTCTGATAGGAAAGATATGTCACAGGTCTAGTCCATAAAGGAACATTATCTGATGGGGAGCCAGGAAGGCAACATTTTCTGCCATAATACCCACCCTCTATAACAGTTTTTTCAGTCTTTTCCAACTTTGTATTTGCATTTGCATGAGCAGCAGGCAAGCCCATTACTTCCGCAGCCCAGTTCCAAATAGCTCAAGACCTGGATGTGGATTTGGGGACCCCTGCTCTAGAACATTAATCCCCTGGAGATCATACTGACCCTAATTTTGATGGCCTTCAAAAGAGTTGAAAACATGGATTTGCCGTTTGATCTGGAAAGCCAGTGATATGGATATGGTGCCTACCAGGTGGCAGTATTGTTAGGAAACTAAGTTCACTCTTCCACACAGGTTATGGGAATTTTTAAAATAATCTTTATTTATTGTTTCAGTACTTTTAATGATGATTGTTGTGTGTTTATTTTGTTTTATTGTTTTTGTATGTACTGTGTGTGCATGTTCAGCATTACATATTTAAGTTGAGTAGCTGTACAAATTTAGGCCATGAATGAATGAATAAATAAATAAAAGTCAAAATTAAAATTGATGGTTGTTTTCTTGCAGATGTTTCATTATCCAAGCTAGGTAACAATTCAAGAGTTCTTTAGCTGAAATTCAATCTGTACTATCAGGCATAATTTTGAAAGTCTGTCAGTTTCCATAGCAATGCACCTAAACTTACTGATTTTTTGGAGTATAAGATGCATTGGAGTATACGACACAGCAAAGTTTTGAAGAGGAAAATTTTTAAAAAAGTTTTTGTACTCTGCAAGCCTCCCAAAAACAGCCTGTTTTCGCAAAAACGGGCCCATTTCCCCTCCCCCCAAAAAGGCATGGATAGCCTTTAGGGAGCTTGCAGAGTGCTCCTGGGGAAGGGGGGCAAAAATGAGCAAAAAACGGCCTGTTTTCGCAAAAACGGGCCCATTTCCCCTCCCCCCAAAAAGGCATGGATAGCCTTTAGGGAGCTTGCAGAGTGCTCCTGGGGAAGGGGGGCAAAAATGAGCAAAAAGTGGCCCATTTTTCGTGAAAATGGGCCCATTGTTCATTTAAAAAAGGGCATGGATAGCCTTTAGGAAGCTTATAGAGTGCTCCTGGGGGCATACAATTGAGCAGAAAACAGGCCATTTTTTGCTCATTTCTGCCCTCCCCAGCCCCCAGGAGCTCTCTAAAAGCTTCCTACAAGCTATGCATGGCCATTTTAGTGAAGGAGCGGGGTTTCAGGAGGCAAAAAAATGCTGTATTCAGTGATTAAGACGCACCCAGATTTTCAGCCTGTTTTTTGAGGGAAAAAGGTATACTCCGAAAAATACAGTATATAACATTCCCTAGTGCTATACAGCATTCTCTAAGCCAGGGGTGTCAAACACAAGGCCCACGGGCTGTATCTGGCCTGTGATGTGGTAGGATCCAGCCCATAGGGCTCCCCTGGAAAATGTAAGAGGCTGGCCCATGTGGCTTTGGCCCTGTCTACCCAATGTGAAGAGGAAACATGCTAGCAGTTTGGGGAATGGCGTCAAGCTGGCCACGCCCCCAGTCAGCCACACCCACCCAGTCACCTGTCCCCCAAGTCAACCACAGCCCTGACGAGGCCCTCAATGAAATTGAGTTTGACACCCCTGCTCTAAGCAGTTTACAAATGTCAGGACATTTACTCAACAATCTGGCTCCTCATTTTACTAACCTAGGAAAGATGAAAGGCTGAATCAACCTTCAGTCGGTCAGGATCGAATTCCAGGTTATGGCAGAATTAGCCTGCAATACAGTATTCTAACTATTGTGCCACCACACCTGCTAGCATTCATTTTGTTTTAATAATTGTGTGCACTTATTTTAGAAAATACATTCCCAATGTAGCTCTAACTGCAGCAACTGAGATCCTTTTAGCCACATTCAAAATACTTCTCAGGTATTGTGTGTGCTCTATAATTTGTACATTTTATATGAATTCCATATAGGGAGTATAAGGGTACCTATGACCATTGCAGCCTCCCCACGGTCACATGATTTACATTGGATGCTTGACAACAGACTCACATTTATGATGGTGGCAGCGTCCCAGGGTCATGTTTTGCATCCTTCTGACAAGGAAAGTCAATAGGACAACTGGATTCACTTAATAACCATGCTACCAATTTAACAACTGCAGTCGTAAAATGAGGCAAAAATCAACAAATGTCTCACTTAGCAACATAAATTTTGGGGTCAATTATGGTAGTAAATTGAGGACTACCTGTAGAATTGAATATGATAATGTCATATTGTAAGCTTATAACAAAGTTTTGCAATATTTCAGGCATGTGTGCTTCAGTAATGTTAAATCATTAATATAGAGACTATATGGCATTAGTGCATGTATATATCTCTTCCTTATCCTTTTAAATATTGATACTGCTTGGATGATTTCATTGACTCCAAACCACAATCTCAAACAAGGATTTTGTGAAAGGATTTTGATCAGTGCAAACAGGCTGGATGCCATACTGAGGATAAAACAATTTTCTCCATAATGTTTCTCTGTGTCAAATGCTACACTCTATAAGCTCAGCAAATGGTTGACTCTTCTTACTCACAGATTTAATAATTAGATAATTAAAGAGAAAGCACTTGTCAGTAATAGATTGACTCTGTCTAAAGCCAGATTGTTGTTCTGTGAGACAATAGGATTTATTCCTAAAGGCATTGTAACAAAGATTTGTTATATATAAATATACTTTTTCCCCTTCTATTTTAATTTGCTATGGAATGTTTATTTGATTGTTGATATTATATGGGACCTAAATGGTTCATGAATTTACTGTGTTAAAAAAGATTTTTGGTAAAATATGAATTAATGGTTCAGCAAAAAACCAATATTTTAAAGCAGGCCAAGGGAAGGATATTTTGCAATTGAGGAATGAAGGGTTTGCCCCAATCTCTTGTTTGTAAGCCTGAATAAAATTCAATTGGCTGGGTTTATATATAATGCTAAGCCATTACCAACTTCATCATAGCCTAATTATTATTATTATTATTATTATTATTATTATTATTATTATTATTATTATTATTATTATTATTTATTTGTCTTGTATGCCGCCCACTCCCGGAGG